AATCAGCAAACACCAAAACATCCATGGTTTTCCATTTGCCTGCTACAGAAACGTCTCCTCTGGAGATTTCCTTTCTTTCCCTCCCCTCCACCTAATTCAACATCAGCCCACCACCACAGGGATTTGGCTCTTTAGCTCCCACCGTTGCTAAGAAACAGTGACAGGAAGCCTGCCTTGTCGACTATGCGCGAGTTGCTCTGCTTTTCTGTCTTATAGCATTCCCAGCCCAAACAATGACGCATTCAGCCAGCTATCCAGATTCCTACTGCTGCTAATATCTGTGTCAGCTGTAAACAGCAGGAGTGATTTCATCTGCTTGTTTTACAGCTTTACTGGACCTTTTATGAGTCCGCTTCCTGAAAATTATTTACTTCGACAGAGTAACTAAATAGACATTATTGCTGAAAGTGAATTCAAATTCAAACCTATTTTGTCTCATTTTAAGCTGTCAGAAGAAAATAAATCAGCTGTAAATCTACTGATAAATGCCACATTTAGGTTCATGATTAGCGATCTTCAGATTTTCTCCAGACGTTTTCAGAAGTTTTAGTGTAGGTTGTGTTTTTCTAATCCTAGCAGTTTCTAAATTATATATCCAGGTTCAAATACGTACACCTCCCACAATTATTTGGATATATTGCCTCTGAAGCAAACCATTTTTGTAGCCATTAATAAGACACTTTTCCGAGCAGAGGTTATCAAAATGTATAAGTCTAGTGGCACATATTCACTTTTTAAAGATGTGGTTCACATTTGAGAAGCTTAATATCATTGTGCTTCATCCATTCTTAAATCTGTTTTAATGTGTATTTTGATCACCAAGGCATGATGCCACCATTGACATGCTTGACACCTTGACTCCAAACACGTAGCTATTGTGATGGCCATTGAACTTTTGAGTATCTGTTTTCATTTTTGCAGTTATGCAGAAAAATGAATTTCATTGTCTGAGTGTCTGAGAACTGTCTTAGAATATTTCACCACTCTCTTTTAACCTCCCTTTTAAATCCCTGCATCAAGCAGCAATATATTTTTAATGTCCCTAAGAAAACCTTGCTTCTAATTGATCCTCCTTCTTTTAGCCTTTCTTTTGTCTCTGTAGTACACCACCAGAGCCACTGTACTGCTGTTTAGAGATGCAGCATCAGGAGAAGACAGTAGAAGAAAACCTGCAACAAATTTACCAGATCACTACTCAGATGGATTTTCAATCTGCTTTCAGAGAATTATGCGTGAGTTTTTTTTTTTTTTTTTTTTTTTTTTTTGGGGTGGCATAAAATAGAACTGAGAACTTATTTAAAGTAAAGACCAAACATTTTTTTCAACCAATCACAAGGATGAAACTCAGCTTCTAAAAATGTACATGACATGTCATCATTTCTCTTTTCACTTTTGCTTCTGAGTGTGTTTTTAAACTGAAAGATTCTTCTATGGTGCTGAGAGAGGATATGCAGCCCCTTAGAAATAGACTTATTTTACAAAGGACCATTTGGGATGTTTTCTTTGTAAGAACAAACTAACAGATAGATCATGTAACTGCTGTATTCAACAGTTCAAATTATGCCAAAACTTTTGGCTTAAACTTGAGCTACAGCATCTTCATGTCACTTGAACTATTCCACATTGTTGGTCAAATAACAAACTATTTTGTATTTTATTGATTGTGTTTTCAGGGTGATGTGCAATTATAAGTGCACACAGTATTTTATGCAATCAAATTTTTCACTTAGCTTCATCTGATCCAAACATCTTCTTCCACGTGTTTGGTATTTCTCCTATGTAACCAGGGGCAAAAGAGGCTTTTTATAGCTTTCCTTCAACAATGGCTTTCATTCAGGCACTCTTACAAGAAAAACAGATAATTGTCCAGTCAACACCTTCTCCAAAATCCTGAGCTGTGGGTGTCTGCAGGCCCTCCAGTTTTTTTCATTATTATTATTGTTATTATTATTTTTTAATGTATGTGCCTTCAAAGGAGCAGTTTGGTCTTCATGATTTATAGATCAGTGAATGGCTTGGCACCACAGTACAATTATATTCTGTTGTCACTGTAAAATCCTTCCAGATCACTCAGGTCTTCTGGTTCAAGTCTCTGCATCCCCAGAATCAGAAGAACCAAATACAGAAAAACAGCTTTCAGTTTATGTGCTTCTCTAATTTGGAGCAAACTTTCAGAAAACTGTGAAACTGTTGAAATACTAAGTTCCTCTAAATCACACTAAAAACACATTTGTCTGGAGTTTCCTTCAGTTTATGATAAATAAACATAAATTAATTTAATTGTGAATTGCATTTTTATTATTACTTTTCTTTATTTTGTAGTGTTTCTTCTTTTGTTTTACGTTTTAGGCACTTTGAAATGCCGAAATGTGTCATGCAAATAAACTTGATTTTACTTGGTGATTTTGACTATTTTCTTACCCAACCTGTCAATCAGTGAGGACCAGCATGTTTGCAATTGTGCCATAACCTCATTTTGGGAGCATCATAGTGAAAAATGCTGAATAGATACACCTGACCACAAACCTCATTTCAATAAATGGGACAAAATGTGAAAGTTTTTAAGCGGTATAAATATATTTGTCAGGTGCTATATAAAAATACTGGGAATGTTTTTATTTACTGATTATTGAAGAATCACTGATTTTAGTTATTAATGAATTGTTGACTACTTGTCAGATATTTATTTCAATTTCTTTTCTTTTTTTCCTTTTTTTTAATAGGTTGATTATACCTCCAGCTAAAAATCCTATGATGGTAAGTTTGGAGGTCTTGAAACAGAACTTTTTCTTTTCCTTTTTGTTTTTGTGGATCCATGTTGTTCTCCTGAATAACCTTGCCGTCCATTTTGCCATGAAGTACAGTTTCCCTCAAGCCTGATTAAACTAAGACGATGATCCATCCTTCTGGCCTGCAGCTGCATCTTGCTCTCGTTTCCTATAGCTTTGCAGGGAGTGGCCGCTGGTGTAATGTTCGGCTTTGATTGAGTTGTATTCTGCCCCCTTGTGGACGCTGGCCTGATGTCAGGGGAGGGTTGAAGAGGCTTAATGGGCAGCTTACCCATAAACACGAAGTCACCTTCGAGTCATTAGATCACATTTTATGCATTTGATTAAGTTATGGTTCAGTCTAAGGGGATTTTATTTATTTTTAAGATCTAATTTATCACAACTTACATTGGGATAATGATAATTTTCCTTCTGATGGGTCCAAATCCAAATCCTCCATCTCCTTGCTCTGTTTACAGTCAAGCTGTCAGTCAGCACTAAAATTAAAGAGCATTGCTGCGTTAACCCCTGTCCTCTAAATTACTTCTTAAAGCACAGCTGCGGTCGCCTCAGAGGCCACATTAGTCTCACTTATGGGAAGGACAGGAGGATAAGCTCTTCAGGTTGCTGTCTTGTCCAAATGTGTTAAAGCAAGATAAAATGGCTGCTGGATGCAATGTGGACCTGGTACATTTCCCTGAACTCCAGATAAGAAACTCTTTCTGTCTGCAGGAGGCTAAATGAGATAGTGAGCCCGCCTCGGTGTTTTCATTTCTACCCATAGCTGCACGGTGGCTTGACTGCTTCTGAAACACGTCATGAAGAGAAAACATTTTTATAGAAAGACCATAATCAGAAAGTCCATAATTATTTTGTTGTCATGTATTAATCTAGACTGATAAATAAGTAAATAACTTCCACATTGACAAGGAAACATCATTAGAGTGATATTGTAATAGCAGTGAACTGGTTGCGACCCAGAGTCACACTTCCATTAAATGTTGACTCATTTCAGAGAGAACAGCAACCAATCAGTCTCAAAGAATGAAGCATAAAGAAGCTCAAAACACATTCCCAGTGAAGAATACGAGTCTCTGTAGAGTTTGTCCTTCTGTTTGAGTCCATAATGCTGAAGTCTCACTGTCCAATCATCAGCTGCCACAAAGAGGAGGAGCTGTCACCGCTCTAAGATGATATGTCACATCTCCTGGGAGTCGCTTCATCACCTGTTGAGCAAAGCATGGGCTCTCATGCAGATGCTCTCCTGTATTGTGCTTGTGTGACACCTTATATGGCCCAGTCCTGTTTGCTCTCCCCCAGTAACCTCAGTGAACAGCTGCACTCTCCCTTTGGTTGAATTCTATTGAGGAATATCACCTTACTGTGAGTTACAAGTTCAGACACAAGGAAAAGCTTCCTTCACTTTAGTTTTCACATGAAAGTGGAAACTTCCTCTTTTAAATGTAAAAATTCACAAAAAAAATTATATATTTTTTCAAACAAAAGATAATGAGCTATACATCGTCAGCAAACCAAATGTAATTGTTTTTGAAAAACTGTTATAGTCACAAGCAACCATTGTTTATTATAGTCAGAAAAATAGGGAACATTACATCATTGGTTCCAGCTCCTGAACACTCAAACAGGCCCACACCATCCCACTACCACTGCCATGTTTCAATGTTAATATCATGTTAAGGTTGAGCCTCTCACCCGATGACCTTTGGAGACAAACACCAGCACCCCCATGACCCTGCACGCATAAGTGGGTATAGACAATAGATGGATGAATTCTAATAAACTTTCAGCAACAAAACTGTGCTCAAATTCAAAAAGTAAATATTTGCAATAAAGTACAATAAATACCTTTTATTGGAAATGACAAATTAAAGATGTCTGTCATGCAGCAGGAAACATAAGTTGGCTTCATATTGGTAAAATATTTAAAACTGTCGCATTCACACCACAAAATTATCTAAGATTGTTATATAATCTTCTTTCAAGACTAATTATTTGTTCTACTGATTTAAGAACATGAAGTTTCTGTCAAAGCTTCAGTGAAAACTCCGTAAAATGTGATAAATAATTCAATGAACACTATCACTTTACTTGAGATAAACTTGCTGGGTTACCATGGTAGGAATGCATATATTATTTACTGGCTGAGTCAATGTGACTGCAAGGCAGCTTACTGGCTCCCAGTCGTGTTTAGATCCCTTCACACAGCGAGGATTAAACGTGGTATTAATCCATGGCAAACAAAATACCGTGTCTGGGCTGAATGTTTACCTCCGAATGAGAGGGCAGGAGCTGAACTGCAGTGTGCTGGACCATGTAACGTGGCAGAGAGCTTGTGATGGAGGGGACAGTAGTGACAGCAGGACCAGAGAAGCCACAGAGGCGGGTGAGGTTCCGTGTGGCTTCAGGGAACAGTGGCCGGGTCCTGAAGGAGATGTTCAAGGATGAGGGGCCCTCAGACTCCCTGGATTCAGACTGCACCAGCAGCTCAGACGCCGAGCGGGCCAGCACCCCTTCTACAGCTGGAGACGTCCAGGGAAACCTGCACGGATTCCTAGGCTCGGAGCTGGACGACGGCGAGAGTGAGCCTGATGAGCTGCTCATGTACGCCGGGGCCACCAAGGACTGGATGTTCACCACCAAGAGGGTCAACATTCTCAGCAAAAACGGGACAGTTCGAGGAGTCAAACACAAAGTCAGCGCAGGTCAGGCGCTCTTTGAGAACCTTCCTGACGGTGTAAGTACCTGTTGGCCATAATCACATTATTGCCTTAGTGGTATTAAGACTATTTTCTTTCTGAGTTCCATATAGAAGCTGCTGTGCCTTGGAAAAACCACTCAAATGTTGCTAAACTACAACCTCAAAAATTAATGATGTTTCATTTATTTTTTTATAATGGACTGAAAGTAGTAGTAATAGAAAGTAGTGCCTTTCAAACTTTTTTAGAAATAAAAAATAATGGGGAAACCAATATTTTTGGCTTTTGACTCTGATGCTCCTAAATAAAAGTGCTGATCAGGTGTGAAAAAGATTGACCTTTGAACACTTCTGGAAAAATTCGATGTGTATTGGAAAACAGGCATCACTCTACACACCATCCCCATGATGAAACATGGTGGAGACACCATGATACTGTGGGGTGGATTTCATTCTTGGAAGAAATTGTAGTAGAGGTTGAAAAATGTTTGAGATCCAGGTGGAGGTTTATGTTTGGGCAGCGCAATAAAATCAAAAAAACTAAAGTAATAACATGTTAGAGTGGCCAGATCAACTCTGATTTAGAATATATAGTTAAACCTAAAAGATGCTGTAAACAGATGGTCTTCATAAAGTCTCTGATTTGAGCTTTGCTACAATAAAGAGTGGGCATAAGTTTTAGTCTATAATAGCGAGGCTAGTAGATTCATACCCTACACACTAGCGATTGATGTTTTACAAAAACTTTGACTTAGTCATGTTTAATACAAGTATTAGTTACATTGTATTGTTTTTTTTTTTTTTGTCATAATACAGGTAACTCTATTTATCTGTCATAAAAAATTCCAATAAAAGTATTGATGTTTGTGGTTGTAAAGTGACAAATTTGAAGTCGTAGCTGTATAAATACTTTTAAAAAGCGCTTTTTGAGCGGAATTGGAATAAAAGCTCCAAAGCGAGGTTGAGCTCATACAACAATTAAAGATTAATGATCCATTTCATTAAGTTTCAGGAGAAACTAATCAGGTTAATGAATTCAGCACTGCTTTCTAGTGTCACAGCACCGTCTGCTGCATGCCACCCCAATGCAACACTGAGCCTGTGTGCTTACTAACTGCATGATGTCATAAAAATGTACAAGTTATTCAGGGTTTTGAAACTCCTCATTTTAAAGTCTGAAACAGCCAATGCAAATGATTTACTTAAAACACATATTTACAAAAAAAGGCTGAAAATCCCATTTTAAAAAGATGGTAGATATGTAGTTATCATAAACCAAGTTAGAAAATCAGTTCATTTGGGTCATACACTAGAGTGATTGACAGTGGTAAGACCCTCCTCCTGATTCTGATTGGTTGATTTTGACTCAGTGGAGTATTTCTGGAGTTAGTATTTTGATCACTGGAGGAGCTCAGTTCTTTTCCGCAGATTATATGTCTTATCACCATATAATGATAATTTTAACCAATATATCAAAACATATTTTTTTTAAAATACAGGTTATATCCTGCAGTTTTAACCAAACACAATGTCAGAAGTTTTTTACTTGGCTAAGGAGGGAAAGAACTACACTATTGCTCAAGTTTTCTTTGGGGATGAAATTAAATATTGTATTTCATTTTGGAAATCAAGATAAAAAAGTAACAGGAAACAAGTGAGAAGTTGTTTACCTCCTCTGCTGACAAGGAGAAAAGGGGATGAACTCTAAAGATCTTTGACAGGAGTTGAGGGAGTTTTTCTATGTAAATTAGGCAAAGCTGGACTTCCTTCTGCTGCAGGACTAAAATTTAATGAAGGTGACTGTGGAGGTGAAGGGTGTACAGATTAGACATGCTGCTGTGTTGGAATGAGGTGCATTTATACTGTGACACAGTGTTCTTTTATGTACTTATTTTAAATTCAAAAACGTACTCATATGAAGATTATTCTACATTTTAACAAATTAGTAAACCCAGATGATGAAGTTGCAGCTTTATAAGCCTCTGACAGGTCAATTCACAACTTTTACATGTATTTGAGACACAGCTACGGAGTTCTGAGGTTAAAAACAATTCTCCAAAAGAAAAGCATGTCGTTCACTCTTCAAGCAAATATAAATAATTTCATTCATTCTAATTAACCTAAAGCGGCAATCATGACTAGATTCAGCAAAGGAAGCATTTTATTTGGGTGTTTTATGTTTAGATAGAGACACACTGTTTACAATTATTTATTTATTTTTTCATTTTTTTCATTTCTTTGAAATGAAAAAATATGTATGCTATAAAAGAATGCCTTCTATGGGTTCGAATTCCTCAGTTTGTTTTTGATGTGATATTGAATGCTTCAGATTTTAAAAGCTTAATTTGGTTCCTCTTTAAAAAATGTCTCAATATCTAAAACTGTTCTTGATGGATTAAATGCATGCTAAATGGGAAAAAAACATATTTAATTGTATTTTAATTAGCTGGAGGGAAGGAAGAAGGACGACAGTAACACAATCCACAATGCAGTGCAGCAAAGAAGCAAAATTTCAACTTTACTCATGATGTAACATACTCACCTTTCATTTTTGACTTTTCTCAGGTCCATTTACCACTCGAGTTTGGACGCATAGTGATCTACACCACAAGTTTCCGTGTGGTAAGGACCACTTTTGAGCGCTGCGAGCTGGTCAGGAAGATCTTCCAAAACCACAGGGTGAAGTTTGTGGAGAAGAACATCGCTCTGGACAGCGAGTACGGGAAGGAGCTGGAGGAGCGGTGCAGACGTGTCGGTGAAGCCCCCTCGCTGCCAGTCGTGTTCATTGACGGACACTACCTTGGGGTCAGTCCCGCACACTGTTTCGTAGCAGCTCCAGGCGTCAGTTTCATTCTCATGGTTTGGTACTTGTTTTGCAGGGTGCTGAGAAAATACTTGGCATGAACGAATCAGGAGAGCTGCAAGATCTACTGACAAAAATTGAGGTTAGGTTTCCCCTGCAGCCAGATTTGAAAATGATATTATTAAATACAGATTGTGACCAAATAGATTAACTAGCCAGAAGTGTGTCTCCCCCAGTTTCAGTTTGATGCAGACAAACAATAAATAATTTAGTTGTTTGCTTTGAGATTTATTGGCATAATCGTTATACCAGCAAAATTTTCATATCCCAAAGCACTGAGGTGAATTGAGTGCAAACAGGAACAAACACCTCTTCTCACTGACTGTGTCATCAATAAAGCATGTGGAAAGGAGCTAAAAATTTCATGCACATCAATAGCCAGGCATCTGTAATACAGGGGCCGTCATTTATTGATTTTACACAACGCGATTGGCTCCATGGTGTCAACTATAATCCCTAAAAATAAATATTTCAGCTTCCCCCTCAGCTGTGGTTGGCCTTTCTCCTCCTTTGCTTTAATTTTGAATTAAAGCAAAGGACATTCTCTCCAACAAGAAACTAAAACTAGATCCAAAACTACAATGACATTTAAGTCATAGTTTTTTGTTTGTTTTTTTTAGCCCCGAGGGCAATTAGAAGGGTGCCACCCTGAAAGGTCATGCATGCAAACATTAGCCTGAAAATGTCCAAAAACATTGGTGATTGTGTGTTTACAAGCATGAACACCAAACTATTTTGAATGTTAATTCTGCGAAACAGTAGGAGACTGGCATTTTGGGAAATGCACTCATTTTCTGTGTAGTGGATGAGGAGAGGATTACAGTGTACTCTGTCTTTTAAATGAAGAGATGAAACAAAAATACTTTGAGGGCCTTGAAAATAATAAACTCCTTTCAACTTTTTTCATTTTGTCACATTTACGTGTTTGATAAACTTAAGGCGTTCATAACTGTGAAATGGAGGAAAGGGATATTTTGTTTTCAATTGTTTTGAAAATACTCTGAAGAATGTGTCATTTTGTATTCCATCTTCTGAATGCATTTTGATTACCTGTTACTGTTACAGAAAATCATTCCCCACACGACGACACAGCCATTAACTTTAGTTACAGTGGGGACAGTATGTTCAAAGCAATGCAAAATGCTAGCTTTGTGACCACATTGAGTGGATAGAAAAGTCTACACACCTCTGTTTAAAAAAATGTATTTGTTCAATTCAAATGAAAAACAAATTACAAATGGACAATGAGAACATGTCCTACCTCTTCCCTTCAACCTTTGTGTTGTTCTATCATATGAAATCCCAATAAAGTACTCTTTGAAGTTAGAGTATGTGGCGTAACAAAATGTGAAAAAAATTACAGTGTAAATACTTTTGAGTAACTACAAATGAAAGACAAACAATTTGACAGTCCAGCTTGCAAAATCTGCCTGAATTTATAAACAATGAGCATTGAAAGAAATCACTGGCCTGCAAAAAGATATATAAGGCTTGTCTTTGAAATAGTTACATGATCATTTTAAAGATTTTTTTTTCACAGGTTTGATTGTTAAAAAGCACTTGTAGCCTCATTTGTAGCCTTTATCCCGAAACTAAAACTACATTTTCTCCTTCTCTCAGAGGGTTCAGCATCCCCAGACGTGCCAGACCTGCGGAGGCTTCGCCTTCATCCCGTGCTCAATGTGCCATGGCAGCAAGATGTCCGTGTTCCGCAACTGCTTTACGGACTCCTTCAAAGCCCTAAAGTGCACTTCCTGCAACGAGAACGGCCTGCAGCCCTGTGCTAGCTGCAGCTAGTGAGGACGGTGTGATGCCTGGACCAAACATCCCACTTCAGGACCAAAAACAAGAACCTGAAATGGACAGCAACACTGCCAGTGAAACACAACCCAGCAGGATTTTTTTTTCTCCATGGCCATTATTATTGTGAAAACTGGAATTTCTAATAAAATCTGCAAACTTTCTGATTATCTCTGGGTCAGTTGGATTTCCCTAAAGCATTTGATTTGTTAAAAAAAAAAAAAAAAGAGCGTCCACTGAAGGGTTGTGAACAAGCTTGCCCTCTGGGAAACATAAGCTTGTTAGTGAGGAGGCGTTGTAATTAACAAATCTCTCATCACTAATCTTACATCAGACACGGTTGGATAACAGACACTCGGGACAAACAGTGAAAGTCAAGGGCTCGGTTTTCAGACAGTCGAAGGCAGCAAACTGGAACTTTGCTCACAGGGAAGCACAGAAATGAATTCAAACAGTAACGTCAGAACCTCTTCAAAAAGATACTCGTCAACTTAGGCAATTCAGTTAAAATATGAAGCTCATATTTCATACAAATCCCTGTAGAAATTTAGTCTTTATTTATCACAGACAAAAAAAACAACTTAATTTAGTCTAAAATCATTCTAATAATGTTTAGGCTCAATGTTTGTGCATTTAAGTGCCAAAAATAAGAATACTTTTAAAAAGTATATTTTCTCTAACTTGTTTTTTCAGGCCTTGCAAGATCTTGTGTCTTTTGTGTATGACTGTATCTCTGCTCTCTTGACCTGAATTCTTGGTATTATTAGAAGACGAGGAAGAATGAATGACAAACAAAAATAAAGAATTTTTTTTTAAATGCATTATATTTAATTTTATTAACCGTTTTATATTTTTGCTGAGCATACAAAATACAGTTTTGGTCATCGAAGAAGGTTTACAGACATTAACTAAAAGGTGCTTCATTTACAAAAGGACAACTATCGCCTGAATTCCAAGCAGACTCGCTTATTTTTATTAAATTTTTTTGTACAAATACACTGATTCTTATGATCTGAATTACAAGTAAAGCGGTTTTAGGGGCAGCAGCGGCTGATTTCGCTTCTGCTCCTGGCCGGCTCTGGTTGGCAGCAAACGTTGGGTGTATGGAGGAAGCGCAGCGCAGCTCTCTATGCTGTCATAGCCCTGTACAATGCTGCTTGAACATTATTAGACAAGGCAGCACCGTAAAGAGGCTAAAAGCGTAGAGCAGGGTGATGGTGATCAGCAGAAATGATTCTCCTTCAGGATGCTCCTCTTCCACCTGCGATTCAACCCAAACAAGCGACCATTATTGGACCAGTTTAATCACCGAGGGCTGGTTCTCTTCGCGGACAATCACAGATCATTACGGAGAGCTCTCAGCTTTAGTTCTGCAAGGTGTTAAGAGATTCTGGGCTTTGTGATCACAGGCTTGACGTGATGGAGGAAAATCTGAGGCTCCAACTGTGTAGATTCGGTGCGCCCCCATCTGTGGGGTGATTGCGCCGAAGAGACGGGAGAGGGGGTTGTAACACAAATGGAGGATGCGCCGAGGATTTTTTTTTTACCCCTCCCCCCAATCACACTTCTAAAAGCTTAAAATAAAATTTATTTATAAGGGATAATACAAGCGTCATTGTTAGCGCTCAGCTGCCGGAGATGGGATGATGGATGAGGCGACCAGCAGACACGTCTCGACGCTCGTCTAATCTATCATGAACCTGGTGATCTGCTTGCCATTTTCTTTTCTTTTTCTTTTTTTTTATTTCTCTCAATGAACAAGCATGTATTGTGTGAAGATGGGGCGATATGAACGCAAACGAGATGCGCAGTGGCGGAGCTGACCTGGGAATGGGAAGACGAGACATGACACCGATGATGCGCGCAACACCCAGAAATGTTCACACAACATTCAGTGGTTAAAAACCTGCAATGGTGGGATCGTCCGCACTGCGTCCGCTCTCCGAGGATCTGCGAAAAAAAAACAAAAAAACCCCAGGTTATTTCAGTCGAGTAATCGAGCGTGGTCCGGCCGCGGTGCTGCGCGTAATGTTTTTGAATGGTCGGTCAATGCGCAGACTGGTTGGAAATGACTGTTTTTATTGACGTCAGCGTACAGGCTAGTGCCCCCCTCTCTCATCCCCACAACTGCACCATCTAATGGCTTTACATTCCAGTCAACCATCTGGGGTTCAAACAGGAAGCAGGCCCCCGATCTGCTAAAAGAGAGGCTTGAAATTGGACTTAAAGGGCCCCAAGATGTAAACATCTGCAGATCACAGTGTCACACCAACTACCAAAGATATTACTGACAGTCTGCAGATTTAACATGAATTTGAGAGTTCCATGTTGATTTTTCTCAGAAACTTTAGGCACAAAATGAGTCTGGACTTCTTGAAGGGGTCCCATAAATACAACCCAGATTGGTAAAAGCCGAGTGCTTCAAAACAAACAAACAAACAAACAAACAAACAAACAAACAAACAAAAACAAAACCCGAGTGTCAACTTTCTTAGCTAAAAAGGTTTTTCATTTTATGTTTGTATTACTGATATGGGTTGGATTTAGTAAATGGGGTCTCAATCACATTAAAGTTGGGTATGAACAACTTAAACCCAACATTTAATATTTGTGTCTTTCTGGTCTTTAATAAATTCTTGCATATTATGTGAAGTTTTGCACAGGCTGCATTAGAGCCACATCTAAAATGCCTGTATAGGATTTTATAGGATACCGTCTACCTTAAGAGATACCGTCTACATCATGATCAGTTTTTTTTGTTTGTTTCAAAGTCCCAAAAGACTCATACATGAAGCACATTACTGTCTTGCAAATTTTTACGAAGCTAAAACATACATGTGGGCCCAAAATTAATGTTGCTCTGGTTTAATAAGCACTAAATAGTCCTGGCCAGATGATAGATTTCTTTTATGAGTCTCACTTTTGGGTTTAGTATTATTTCTATCAGAAAACCCAGTTAAGTACTATGCAAACAACATAACTTCAAATTACACAATCAATATAGGGCCCATATGGTTCCCTCCTTGTGCCCAGAGTTGTTCTGAATCAAATTATTGTCGATTAAAAAGGGCCCAACTTACGAGATTCAACCACACTTTGCTTCAAAGTTCAAAATGACATTAAAAAGCTGACAATAACTTACACAGGTAGAACCAGTCAACATGTGCATTGATAGAGGACTCTGTGTACCTAAAGACCCATTTAATTCATGTCAGCAAACTCAAGTCATACAAAATCTTCATAGATATAAACAGCAAATTGCCCTGCCGTTCCGGTCACATGCATCCCATTGTATTTCCTTAGATTTCTTGAATCAAGTTGGCATTTTACATAAGATAAAAATGTTATCCTGTGGACAATCAATGCACATATGGGTCCCCTATGTAACTGCTGATTAATCGCACAACTTGCATGAGAAATGTCACCGACAGTAACAGAATAAAACACCATGATTCAATAAATTATTTCAAATTTATTCTATGTCCTTCAGCAGTGGCAATATCAGTAAAATATCTAACTATTGACACCTTCAAAAAAAAAAAATAATAAAACCATCGTCCATGAACAGAGCCATACGACTACGGCCCACCTCCTGAAGCAGAGGAAGCTTGTGGCAGGTGTTTCTGAGCTGCAGGTGCAACTGTGTGCTGACAAAGAATTTAAAAAAGAAAAGAAAAATGTGCATTTATGCTGAATTGTTTTCTTTTTTAAGAATAATCAGCAGAAATACTAAAATAGGGGATAGATTTTTTTGATAATTCACTGTAGAATGAACTGTTGGGAGGTTTGCTTTTAATGAAATCTGGAAAAGATTAAGCGGTTTTGTGCTTTTTGTTGAAAAAGACAAGAAAGGGGAAAAATAATTCCACTCCGTTTTAAGGTTTCATCTTTCACCTGCTGATCAGTTTAAAGCAAAAAGGAAACCTATGCAATAACTTCTGGGGATCAAATTGTAATCTTCACATTTTCAGCTGTACCTGTATTTTTTCTTTTTTTTTTCCAATAAAATATCACAAAGACATAATAAATTACTGCTGATTTTTTTGGTCTTTCTGGTTCATTTTTCACTCCCACAAGAAATCAAATGAGAAACTTCACACCCATTTAATCCGATTCATTGTTTTTCTTCAAGCTTTAAAATCTTGTAGTTCTCATTAACCTGCAACACTGAGCAATCCTCAAAAAGACTTCAAATTAAAACAAACAAACAAACAGTGACTAGCGTTTAAATATGTCCTGTTTAAATACGTGGAGCTCGAGTTTCCTTTGCGCTTGTGAAGGAAACACTATCACTGTGGTTCACACGTAAGATTAACGCACAAGCGTAGTAATTGATACTGGTCCTGTTCCGAGTTTTGACCTTGCTAAAATCCAGACACAAACACAGAGGAATGTAAGCTAAAGCAAACAGTGGCTGGTTGGAAGGACTTCTGTGTAGATTCAGTAAGATGGTTGACAGTCTTGCTCTCTGCTGACGATCTGAGCTTCTCAAACAATTACTGTTCAAGATGCTATGTTTATCCCCTGGGAGTGAACTGGTGTAAGACTTCAGGTTTATCTGTGGTGGAGATGGTCAGAGTGGCAGGTGGGCTTGGCTTTCTCTATTCCTTCTGCTAAAGTTCTTTGTGCAGCGGGACGTTCCCCCAGCTATAGTATCTCCAAGTCGACGTGGCGAACCTCTGGGTTACGTTGCTGCGAAAAGAAATGAAGACAGTTACAAATCTCCCCTGATATATTTTCTAATGCACACGTCAACAAAAAACAACTTCAACAACTTCCTCCCTCACTACCTTCAGCTCTTTCTCCAGGCGATCCACCTCAGCCCCTAAAGTGTCAATGATGTTCTCGCCATGTTTCAGCATGAAGTTCTCCAACTCTTCAGGTGTTTTCACCTGCTGAATGTCCTGGAGACACAATATAAACAATGCCACGGCTGAGGGATCCATTTCACACCCTGATGACTGCAGTAAACAATGCAAACGTTGTGACATCAGGCAGTGTGGAGGTTGATTGAAGATTCACAGATCTTTGCTGAGACAATGCGGTAACGCCGTTCAGCGGTGACACTGGTATAAAATGGCAGAGACTTCTGTCTAGTTAGGACAGATGATGGACGATGGTCAACAAGCACTG